ATCAAAATTAACAGAAGGACTAACGGAGTGCATTTCGTATAGTTGAGGGATCAAAAAAGTGCAAAAAATTGTTGAGGGACCAAAAATGTTCATTTCTTAAAGTTAAGGGACCAAATCAAGCATTTAACCTTTTAGAATTAATTCTTTCGTCGGATCAGATCAAGTGTCAAAGAAGGCGGCGGTATAGACCTTTACATTACTTCCTCAAAAAAGATTTAAAAAAAAAAAGAAAAAAAGTAGACCTCTCATATCCTAATCTATAAATTAAATATTGGATCCTAAAATTTGAAATAATTAGACTGTAGCCCACAGTCACCGATTCCAATTCTAGACTCTACCTTCGAGGTTATTTTTGATCGGTGATCCAGTGAATCAACCTTTTTAATTACTTTTTTAGGTAAAATGCATACTCCTTAGACATAATATTGGTTGTATATGTCTCAATTCTGTACATAACATTAAAAGAAAAATAGACAAATATGGAAAAAAGAAAAATCAGAATCTATCTCAGGGTGAAATTCTGTTGACAACCCATGAACTCTTGATAGGTAACGCATGCAAAAGTTACATGCACCTCTTACACTTCCTATAAATGCACACCAGCAATTAAGGCACATCTCAAAGATATATAAACAAAAGGTAAGCAGGAATCACATAACACCCAACCATCTACAGTGATGGTGGGTCTAAAGTTTACAGTCTCCCTCAGCTCCTCCATAGTCACTGTGGTTCTGGTGGTGTTGGTCATTGCACTGACGGTGCAGACTGAGGTGTCCAAGGCTCAGAGCACCTGCTCGACTTCGCTAGGCAACCTCAACCAATGTGCCCCTTCTGTGGTGCCCGGTGACCGTAATACAACTCCTTGCGGTGACTGCTGTGATGCTTTTGCGGCCGTGTCCTATGATTGCATCTGCACCACCCTGAGTATCGTTGCTCATCTCCCTTCTCTGTGCAACCTCCCACCTGTCAACTGCCCCAATTTCCCCAACTTGATGTAAGCCGATCCCTTCCATTTTTTTTTTTTTAAATCATTCAAAAACTCCATCATATATATTAATTAATAATATGAATTTCGTTCTCAATTTTTGCAGATAATGTGAGTGAGGGGGTCAAGGTGATGAGGAAATACCGTGGAAGTTTTATTACTATATATCGTCATCTTGTACTTTTCCTCTTGTTTTTTACACTTTCTTATGTAATTCCGACCTGCAACCCAAGCGATCTGATGTATTACATCACATGAAGGAATAAAGATATATATATATCTCCTTTCTATAAATATATATATATATATCAACAATTTTATCTTATTTCGAATTCCTATTTTTTAAAATGAAATTCAAGAGAGAAACAAATTTGTTTTAAGGGATTGATAGCACCCTGGAAGTTTCATTCTAGTGGTAATTTCAATCTTAAATCTGTTGATTCCACTTCCCCATGTTCCCCCGGATTTGGAAAACCAAAACCCTTCCTAATTAAGATCCAATCCTCATTTGGCTGGCTTCTCGAAGTAAAATTGGCAACAAGGAGCACAGCTTACAACCGAGGGCTTAACATTAACCCCCTCTGCTCGAGATATTTCGGTGAAGTTGAGACTCATCGGTGACCAAATCCCACAATATTTAAATTTAAATTAAATATAACATTAGATACTAAATATATAAAAATCAAAAGTTAAAAACTAAAATTATGATAAAAAGAGTTTAAGTTGTCAATAACTTTAGTGCC